TGAATTCGAAACTTTGTATGTTGTGATGTTATTTATGTAATAACAATGCCCCTATTGTTGTGTTTTTGCTCGTATTTCTTAATTAATATTTTTTTTGAAAACTTATTGATTTAGACGTTAATTATTGGTGTTACCACTTCTTTATGTGTATGATGTATTAACAATGTTACTCGCTAACATATATTAACAACGTTATGTACATATTTATGATGTATTAACACTGTGACTCAGTACCATATTTTGTCGATGTTATTTATATATTAGTGATGTAATTTTTTTGTTTGGATGTTATGTAGGTTGTGGGCATGGATCATGATCCGCGCTCATTACTACATCCAGGTCCCGATGATGCTTGCGTACTATCATTACAACGTGAGCATCGAACGACTGCTATTTGGGAGGGCATTGAGCTCCCNATTTTATCGATGTTATTTATATATTAGTGATGTAATTTTTTTGTTTGGATGTTATGTAGGTTGTGGGCATGGATCATGATCCGCGCTCATTACTACATCCAGGTCCCGATGATGCTTGCATACTATCATTACAACGTGAGCATCGAACGACTGCTATTTGGGAGGGCATTGAGCTCCCACCTTTACATTGTACATAATCTGAGGCTCCATTTCGTCGAGTTACCATCACTGATGAGTGGGTTATTCATCATCTACACACAACTGAATTTTATGGGACATATCGTCTTACGTACATTCAGCTTGACTTGTATCTTATTACTGCACTTGTTGAGCGTTGGCAGGTTGAGACACACACATTTCACATGCTAGTTGGTGAGGCCACCATCACACTTCAGAACATAGCTATATTACTCGGCCTGCCAATTGATGAGATGCCTGTATATGGAATGGATACTGTGCATGATGTGCAGCAATGGAGTGTCATGTCTATTGAGTTACTAGGGTTCACACCAGTAGATGGAGCCATAGACAAGTCCACAATATGGCTTAGTGCACTNACATTTCACATGCTAGTTGGTGAGGCCACCATCACACTTCAGAACATAGCTATATTACTCGGCCTGCCAATTGATGAGATGCCTGTATGTGGAATGGATACTGTGCATGATGTGCAGCAGTGGAGTGTCATGTCTATTGAGTTACTGGGGTTCACACCAGTAGATGGAGCCATAGACAAGTCCACAATATGGCTTAGTGCATTGTCCGAGCATTTGGGCCATGCGATCCCTGTTGATGTGACATAGCAGTTTGTAGATGTTACGCTCGAGCCTACATACTATTGTTGACTGGGGGCTTTTTGTTTGGCGATAAGTCGTCGAGCAGAGTTTAGCTTATTTCTTACCTTTACTTGTCGACCTTGATGCAGCCAACAATTTTAGTTAGGGTAGTGCGGCCCTTACATGGTTGTACCGGGAGATAAGTCTTTCTACCAAGCAGGATGCGAAAGATATTAGCGGTCCACTTATTATGATTCAGGTAATGGCAAACTTCTATTGATTTTGCTGACATATTCTTTTATAACTATATAAATTTAGAAACATTATATTGTGTATGTAGTTATGGGCATGAGAGCATCTATCAAACATTGTCCCACAGCGCGTGCTACCACGACAACACATTCCCCATAGTGTAGCTACATTTCATGGCCAAAAGGATGTTCTACTTGCACATGATGGGGCTGATGCAATAGGAGATGGAGCTAATGTACATGGCGAAGCTACACATGTCGATGTTGATGCACACGCAGAGCATGATGGTCCCCTTGGTTGTAGGTGAGTTGTAATGATCAAACGTTAAGTAGACATTTTACGTATTGTTATGTGTTTATATATTTGTTGAACTTTATAGATAGAATGTCACATTTTTAGAGCAGCACACTCCGACCCATGTTTTGCGTCACTATCGGGACCAACTTGACCAAATGAGAGACGATTAGGTATATCAACTTGGCCATATCTTACTTACCCGGATGTTCTATTTTAAAGTTTGTTAATGTCTGTTAGGATGTTTAGAATTATTGGATGTTGAGATGCTATGATTTTTTGTATATTAGTTAATGTCTAGATTAAGTTGGGTGTGCTGTATACACATTGAAAATTTTGGAAAGTTCCAATTTATAGGGGTAATTCTGCACAATTTTTTAAAAAATACTTTTTTATTTATTAGTATGTGCCCATGCTTGCTGGTTTCCGTTGTATTCCCAATTCTCCGCACAAGACCCCTCTTTGTGTATATGCCCTATGTGTATGGGTATGTGCCACTCTCATTCAAGTTCGATGCAAAAAATGAAAAATGGAATATTGGTGGAATGAAATGTATNAAGACCCCTCTTTGTGTATATGCCCTATGTGTATGGGTATGTGCCACTCTCATTCAGGTTCGATGCAAAAAATGAAAAATGGAATATTGGTGGAATGAAATGTATGTGTGTGTGTGTGTGTGAACAAAAGTGTTGCCCAAGCATAGGGAGACTTTCGAGTGTCGTGTTTTATTAGAAAATCGTACTCCAAGGTCATCTCCTCAAGGAAGGATATGAATTGTGTTGAAGGTGATTTAGGTAAAAATGTAAAAGTGTAAAATCTTTTGAGTTTGAGTTTGGTGATTTGTTGTTTGTGATAGAAAATGAAATGGAATAAGTGTTGGCTAATCCGAAGGGGTCATTCCTATGGGAATGCCAAATCAATTCAAGACCTTCCTCCAATGGTACTTAGATGTTTGATTGATTCGTAGGAAGCACGGGACTAGGATGGAGGTGAGGATTCAAGCATACCCCGTGACAATGCCTACGGTGTATCAAGAACACACAACCACGTTCTCACTCAACCTAATCAAACCAAACCAACATACACTACAAGGAGGAAAGAAAATGAGTTGAAATGACATACCCAAGAGGAGGTCTCCCTTGGATTAGCCAACTTAAGAACTTAGCTACTCATACATAAAACAAAGACAATAATGTAATGGAAAGACATTGTAAAGGAATGAAGATTTGAGCTAAGTTAATGCAAGAAAACATAAACTATAGGAAAGTGCCTTTAATACCCATCGTAAAGCTTGAAAATGAAGAACTTGAATGCATTAATGGTGAAATCCAAAATGAAAAACTAAACTTGAAATGTGCTTGTAATAAATGACATTAAAGACAATAAAGGAAGTTTACAATATCCTTACAAGGGATTACAAGTGAAATGGATGGATAAAATGTAAAAATCTCAAGCTTTCTCTCTCTAACTATGTCTTTTACCTAGAGCTTATCTCCCTATAATGTAATACATCCAGAATAATACATAATGAATCCCTATTTTTGTCCATAAAGAGCTCCTTGGGTGTGTGATAGGTCTCCCATCAAGAGGGGAGCTGATTGGATGAAATGTTGCAAGCTAGGACAAGCACAACCTTCCCCTCACTTTGCCTTGCTTTTCTCTCTCATCTTCATTAATGTCGAGGCCTTTAAAGTCCAACTAGAGGTGAGGGGAGGCCTGTAGATGTGTAAGGGATGTCAGGGGACCTGGAGAAATGTAAGTGGGGCCTTCCAAATGATAGACCTTGAATTGCAGGCTATCTGTGCAATCTGGGCAAAACCTTTCGAAAGGTCGACACAAACCTTTCAGAAAGTTTGTGCTAAAACAGTTAAATGAACATTCCAGTAAGCAAAAAATTCCGGAAGGTATATGCAAACCTTCGGGAAGGTTCATTCTAGTAGACAAAACCTTCCGGAAGATTTCTGGCAGTGAATAGGCAAGCCAATCACAAACCTTCCAGAAGGTCTCTGTTCAAACCTTCCGGAAGGTTTTCATCCAAAATGAAATTTTCTTCATTTCTTCACCCTCCAAGCCTTCCTTTAAGTCATCCCCTCATCTTCATTGATATCAAACACTTCATTGGAGGTATAACTCCAACCATTTATGACTTTTCACCTACATTTACACAAAACTCCATTAAAAGCGTTGATTAGCATACAATATATGTCATGTTTTTGTGCTAATCACATCCCCCAACTTGAGCTTTGCTAGTCCCTAGCAAATATTATTTCNTTTTCACCTACATTTACACAAAACTCCATTAAAGTTGAGATTAAACACATTTCTTACCAATTTCATGACAAAAGCAAGTATAAAAGGGTTGATTAGCATACAATATATGTGATGGTTTTGTGCTAATCTCCCCTAAATGGAAGAGCTTGAGTTACTGGTTGTCTAGGCAATCTGGGCAAAACCTTCTAGAAGGTCGACATAAACCTTCCAAAAGTTTGTCCACGAACAGTTAAATGAGGAAACCAATAGGCAAAACCTTCCGTAAGGTTTGTGCAGGAATAGTTAAATGAGAAAACCAGTAGAAAAAACCTTCCAGAAGGTTTTGACAGTGAAGAAGGTAGACCAAGGAAAAACCTTCCAAAAGGTTTTTAGCCAACTTGCATTTTTCTTGGTTTCTTCAACCTCAAAACCTTCCTCTAAGCTACCCCTCATCTTTATTGGCTTCAACCACTTCAATGGGGGTTTAACTCAAACCATTTACATCTTTTTACTTGCGTTTACACACAACTCCATTAAAACGAAAATTAAACGCATTTCTCCCCAAAATCACAACAAAAGCAAGTACAAAAAGGGTAGATTAGCATATAATATCTGCCATGTTTTTGTGCTGATCAACTTGGTGGCACCTTCTTTTTCCAAATTGTTGCAGCTTGAGCATTAAAATGTCATTCTGATCTTATAATATTCTAAGCAAACTTAAGAGTAAAGTTTCCATATGAAGAGTGTTGCCAAATAATCTTGTCCTCTCTTGTTGACAAGTCCAACTACACATCTGTAATCTCCTGTAACAATTAATCATCCAGTAATTGATAAACCTCTTCCAATTCCCAATGTCCTTCTACAAACAACTAAGAAAGCTTTGGGAAGACAGTAGGCACCACATAATTCCTATGAATCAGTGGACCTTCACCAATCCAGTTATCACACCAAAAATTCACTGAACATCCAGAACCCACCAACACCAATGAATTACTAGAGACCAGCTCAAACAATGATGCCAAATCCCTGTAACTCTTGGGATGGTTATGTGCTGAGCTAGTGAGCATATGTTGGTTTTTCAAGTATTAAGCAAAGAAATGTTTTGACCAGATAGACTGAACATTAAGCAAACTCCATACATGTTTTCATTCTGAATGCTTGTTGCACATCCTCAAATTTTCTTATTCCCAATCCTCCTTCCTCAGGCATAGTAATATTTTTCCAAGAACACCAGTGTCTTTTGTTGATATTTGATTTACCAGACCAAAGAAATGAGGCCACAACATAATTTAGCTTAGAGATAATTCCTTTAGGCAAATATAGTGAAACAAGTAAATGGATAAGAATCGAGCTGAAAACTGATTGAATTAATACTATTCTGTCCATATTAGACAACATCTTTGTATACCATCCTTCAAGCTTCAACTAGAATTTCCTTAACAACTCCTCAAAATTGATCAATTTAACTCTATTTCTGATAATGGGGCAACCCAAGTATGTAAAAGGGAAATTCTTCAAGGGGATATGAGCACAATCGGAGAGTGAATGCTTCCTTGCTAAAGAGATCTTAGCAGAACAATATAAAGAGCTTTTGGACTTATTCACTTGCTAGCCTGAAGAAATTTCATATCTTCTCACAAACTTCAATAAATATTGGGGTATCATCTGCAAAAAGCTGATGAGTTAGTTTCATTGATCCTCTACCTGTATGGTAGTAGTGAACTAGCCCCTGCTCATA